GCCTATGGACTCAATCACTGATACTCAATATATTAGTCCAATCACCCATTCCTAGTATCTAGTTCACCTCACAAGGCACAAAACCATAATATGTCCCTTTTTTTGCCTTTTCTCACTTGTATGTAATATGTATGTAAAATGTGAAATGTCACATAGTTGGCATTACTGTTCCAAGGGAGTATGTCTCTGACCTGTTCTGCCCTGATCACCTCTGTACATCATGCAGGTAATAACCTGCAAGCTCAGGTTCGTCCAGGTTCAATAAGTAATCTGACATGTTGCTCGCTCTGCATCAGGACCATGATCACCTGATCTTACAGACAGACCATACTGTGTATCAGACATTATAATACCTCCAACACAAGAGCTCAGTGAGTAAGCAGTCCTAATAAAACCCAGCGTTAACCCTTTCTGCAGGTACACCATACTCTTTATCATTCATCTGGGCTAATGGCCATATCCCTCCCTACAATCATACACGTGATTTAATCTTTTGTTTTCCCCCAGTTTTAGATAACAGTTGTTCAGCCCTCCTCATGCTTCCATTTGTTCCACTTTGGAGGAAAAGCAGCCTCAGGCTTCACAGTGGAGCTTCACTGCAATCAGTCCAAACAAAAAGCGAGCAGCAAGCCTGTTAGAGGGAACACACAGATCATATCTACAGCTGCTCCTCAATTCACGCCACATATGGAATTTCAGTCCAATAAAACAGCTCATAATTGATCACAAGTAATGGGATTACAGTCATCAAATTACAGTTTCTTACAGTTCACTTTGCTCTTCTTCCTATTTCTGGCTAGGTGGAGATGGAGGAGGAGTGGCAGAAGAAATATTTACAGGAAGTTTTGGGGGTTTTCTTTCAGGTTTGCTACTGTCTGGCAACCTTCGATTTTAATTTGTCACCTCTTGTGACAGGATTTCTAGCCAGATGCTGCGCAATAAAAAAAAAAAAATTTAAAAGTCGATGCAGTAAAGGCCGATATATCCTGACCTTAAGTCTTCAAAAATGCTGGATCCTAAAATTCCCATAATGTAACTCGATGGTGTCATTTGGTTAGTCCCTCTCTGCCTGTTTTTTTTCAAGCAGATGCCTTCAATTTGTATCCGAGGCTTTTTTATTAAAGCACCAGTGTGTAGGATTTAGTGAACACCCCTCGCGAGAAGTGAAGGGTTAAGCAGAAAGTGCAGAGAAAGTGAGCCAGTGTTTTGTTTGTCCATTCTGGGCTACTGTAGAAACATGGCGGTTTAACATGGCAAACCCCATGGAAGGTGACAACTCATTCTAAGACGAAGAAAACACAACGATTCCTATATGTCTGAATTTTCTGTACAATAGAATATAATTCTGCATTGCTTTTCTGTGTTTTAATATCAGCATTATATATCTGTCATCTGCAACTCTGCTCTCTAAATATTGGCATCGGCAATTGAAAATCCTATATTGGTTGACCACTCGTATATATTATATTTATCTACAGAGGGAGCGAGTCCTGTACAGAGTCGACCATGCAGAACCGCTATATTTCTACAGTAGCCCAGAAGGGACAAACAGTGGCTGTAAGGGCATTTTACATTTTGCAATCTACAACTTCACCACTAGATGCCACAAAATTCTACACACTGGTCTTTTAACGGGAAATACAAACATTATTGTCATTCTACTCTTTTGCAGTCGCACTTTAAACTCGGGCAACTTGGTTCCAAATTTGAAAATGCCAATAAAATAAGTTTTTCATATTTTGTGAAGTCATGAATGTGCGCAAACATTTTTAAACTGATGGGTCCAGTAGTATGTGAGATTAGCTGCAGACAGATACAACATATTGTGCTGGATACACACACGGACACACAAACATGACCAAATGCATGATCCCTTCCAGGCTCAAAAGCTATCATTTGATTGCACACTGTAAAAAGTGCATTAAAAAAAAAGCAAAAAAAGACTACTATTCCAGCAGCTGGTGTTCCAAACAAAAACTGTAAAATAAAAGAATATTACTGACTCATAAAAATACAGCAATTTTCTTTAATTAAAATACAGATTTTAGCTTTAATTTTACATAAAATCTTGTCTTTTGGCTATTCAATGTTAATTAAAGATATTTACACAAGTAAAAACAATGACATTACCTATAAATACAGGCGTTTTTTCAGTGCACTAGTTTTAACCTTCACATGACCAAATCTGCAATCTGCTACTTTCCTGGGCTGTCAAAATCTTTACTGCCTCTACCATCTATTCAACATGATGTGAATGCAGCATCAACACAACACAAGACTTGTTTGCACTGTTGAACAAAATCTGAGATGTAAACTGTGGTTCAGAGGTCCTTCTGCTTCTCAAAGACAAATAAACAACTGGTGTTAGGCTGTGTACATAGCAAACATGGCTAACTTATTACGGAACAGCAAGATTACATTTAGGTCTATTGTGAGATCTACCTCTTTCCGACTCTAAAGCTATCAGCATTAAGAATGCATAAGGCAGGTAACGAGCCAGGAGTTCTGATTGCAGAGATAAATCTCTCCGGGTAGGAGAGATACATCATGATTGGCATGCTCTGATCTCCTCTCCACATCTATTGTGGGACATGGCAGTCACGGCTGACAGGAGAGCAGGATGGGATTGAGCTGAACGGGCCACCACCTCAGCTTTCTGCAAACCGGCCACTGACACTGACACATACACACACTCTTTGGGAATGAGCCTGAGTAGACCTAATTACTGTATATGCACAAGTGCTGTAGTTCACTGAGGAGAATTAACTTTCAGCAATGACCTAGTTTAAACGCTTTCTGCCGTTTGTAAAGATGAAAGGCAAGAAATCCTTTGGTGAAAGGCAGCTTTAGCTATTCGCAGATATCTCAACACTGACATTTCCTGTTCAGGTACATTAAACCACATTGAGATGTAAATAATAGATTTTAAAGACAAACCGAATTGAGGGAATCCCCCATTCATGCTGCGAGAGAAATCCATGGGAATGATGCAGTCATCCCAACAGCATCCGTCATACAGTATTAGCAGCAACTCTGTAATGATGCCAGTTTTTTTGGAGAGCCACAGGCCAGTGGTGAACTGGAGCGTGCATAAAGTGCATAGCAGGGTGATGAGTGACAGTCACCACAAGCTGCGTGCAATCTGTACTTAAAGGTTTAAAATCATCAGTCCCATTGAATTATTTTCCGAGGAACCTTTAATATTCTTAAAAATAAAATTTAATGATCATCAGAGGAGGATATTATTATTATAGGAGGATATTATATTATTAAATTACATCTTACATTGACCATACCATTTAAAGCAATAATATGTAACATTTCGGCATTATGTCTATAAACTTAAGCTCCATGTTCTATATGTAGTTGAGTTGTGTTCTTACATTTCCAACAATGTTAAAACTCAGAGAAATCTGTCATTTTTTTCATTATTATTATTATATAACGCTCACATTGACTTTTTATCCAGTTTGAAGCCAAATTTTTACCATCCACTGTTTAGATGTTGGTGCTTTTTAACTCTA